TCTTCGGGAGAAAGAAGGCTTTCTGCTCCCGCGGCCTTAAAACCCTATTTGATTGGTTGCTTGGTTGTATACAGTGGCGTTGGTTAAGAATCATAGCGACCCTGTATAGGGTTTCTTTACGGAAGCAGAAAGCCTCATCGTTCTCCTGTGGAACAGCTGGTAGTTTCAAACTGCTGACCTTGAGGTTAGTAGCCTAACTCGTAACTACTATGCTACTAGAGCTCCTGAAAAAACTATACAGGGTCCTATGAGTTAGAACTTACTGGAGGCACTTAACAACAGAAACAAATGGCAGTTAAACCCATTAGGAAGGCCTTAGCCCGTTTTGATGTTATTAAGTGACTCTGACTCATAGTGACCCTGTGTAGGGTTCCCTGAGCCGCTTCCCACAAATAAGCAGGTTAAAAAAAATCATGCTACTTAGTTTATCAAAAGACATGTAAATACAGCATATTGTTGTAAATACAAGTCACCCAGTTTATTTATTTTTAACTTTAGAAATAATTTTTATAATTGCTGAGTCCTGGTGTGGCACTGTAAGCTAAGCGCTGGACTAATAAACTCAAGGTTGGCAGTTCAAAACTCACCAACCACTCTTCAGAAACCCCATACAGGGTCGATATGAGACAGAAATAATGACACTTAACAACAATCAAACCAAAACCAAACTCAGTACTACTGAGTTGATTCCAGCTCATATCTGCTCTCTAGGACAAAGTAGAACTGCTCTTTCGGGTTTCTGAGTCTGTAAATCTTTACCGGAGCAGACAGTCTCATCTTTTTTCCATATAGTGGTGGGTGGGTTTGAACTGCCAACCTTGCAGTTAGTAGCCCAATGCTTAACCCACCCTGCCACCAGGACTTCTTATATGACTACCAGGTACACTATTAACACTAACCCAAGGGTGTGTTGTTGTTAAATGGTGTCGTCTCGATTTCAAAACATAGTGATACAGGGTTTCTGAGGAGCTGCTGGTGGATTTGAACAGCTGACCTTGTGGTTCACAGTCGGTGCTGATACTACAGTACCACACCAAGAGTCCAAACCAAGGGTATAACTTTACTTTTCAATTCTAATAATTTAAATGTGCAACTATAATAGTTTTTTTGATGATCTGAAATGAAGTAGATATAATTTGTGTGCAAAAGGTAATTTGTAAGATGAACTTTTGTAATAAGAATATTTTAAAGAATTGAACTGTTAAATTAACTTTTTTTTTTTGCCTTTTTATAGTTCTTTACCTTGCTGAATTATAAATACAGGATAAGGTCGAGCAGAGTTCTGAGCTTCTAGCAAATACTGCTTTCTCTCTTTTTCTTGATTTTTCAAGAAAGCATATATGCCATTATTGCATGTTTTTATAGAAATTCAGATTGCTTCTCTGCTTTTCAAACTACTTCTGTGTTGGTTGAATATACTGCTAACTTTGGTGGTGGTGGTGATGTGCCATGGAGTTGGTTTTGACTCATAGTGACCCTGTACAGGGTTCTGAGGCTGTAAATCTTTATGGGAGCAGAAAGCCTCATCTTTCTCCTGTGGAGTGGAACAGGTGGTAGTTTCGAAACTGCTGACCTTAAGGTTAGCAGACTGATTCGTAACCACTACTCTTATATGAGTATAAAATGGCCAACTGATCAGATACACCATTATATCTCTTGTTGGTGTTAAATGCTGTTGAGTTGGTTCCACTCATTATAGGGTTTCAAGGAGCAGCTGTTGTTGGTGTTGTTGTTAAGTGCTGTCGAGTCGGTTCTGAACCATAGCGACCCTGTATAGGGTTTCCAAGGAGCAACTGGTGAGCTTGAACCACCGACCTTGTAGTTCAGACGGCTTTGCAGTCTGGTGCATTAACCCACAGCACCACACCAGGACTCCAGGAGCAGCTTGGGAAATCAGAATTGTAATGTAAGCCTTGTGCTTGATGTTATTGTCTTAAGTTCCTGTAATACTGAACACTAACATCGGATGTGTCAGAGGATTTATGGAGAATCAGTGACTTCTGTTATTACTGTTACTATGATTGTTAGTGCACATCCCCATGTGTGCAGAGCTGAATTGCTCCACAGGCTTTTCAGAGCTGTGACATTTCAGAAACAGGCTGCCTGGAAGGTGTCTCTGGGTGGGTTCGAGCCATAACCATTTTTGCTACCTAGAGACTCCTAGTGATTATTAGGAATACTTTTCCTTTAGCCCCAGCTGAGCACTCTGCTGTGATCCAAAAGGTCAGCAGTTCAAAGCCACTAGCCGCTCTGTGGTAGAAGAGACCTGGAGACCTGCCCCTGTAATGATGGCAGCCTTGGACACCCTACGAGGCGGTTCTTCTCTCTCCTGTAGGGTCATCCTGAGTCAGAACCAACTGGACAGCACCCATCAATTGATGCTTGTGGGCACATGTTTCAGTGGGGGCAGGATACACTGCTTAAGCCTGGAAGTGCACTTTTAGACCAGAGGGGTGCTTTAAAGTCTCAGTTTTTGAATTTGCATTCGTTTGTTCATCCATATTTGAATAGTTGTTTTCAGCTTTGTGTTCTAACAGCTAGAGGTGGTATCCTAACCTTTGCTTACCAAGTCTGTAACCGATGGAATATGTTATAGAAATGCAAGACAAAAACAAAGACCCAAATTTACTAACCAACCAGAAGTTTATTTTTTGAATTGGAGAATGTTTCTTTTAATTTTACTCAGAAGGTAGGACACTGGTTCTGGAAAATGAGTTGAGACATATATGACATATATGTATATATATGTTGTTGTTGTGCCGTGGAGTCTGTTCCGACTCATAGCGACCCTGTACAGGGTTTCCGAGGTTGTAAATCTTTACCGGAGCAGAAAGCCTCATCTTTCTCGTGCGGAGCAGCTGGTGGTTTCGAACTGCTGACCTTGTGGTTCGCAGCCCAATTTATAACCACTATGCTACCAGAGCTCCATATATATATAAATACACACACACACACACACACACACACTCCATATATATATATATATATATACACACACACACACATATAAGTACATATGGAGTCCTGGTGTGGCACTGTGGGTTAATGCGCCAGACTGTAAAGCCGTTTGAACTGTAAAGTCGGCAGTTCAAGCTCACCAGCTGTTCCTTGGAAACCCTATACAGGGTCACTATGGGTCGGAATCGACTTGATGGCACTTAACAATAACAACAACAATAAATATATCTATTTAAAGTATAATAAATTGATTTTTTAAATATGTTTGTGTGTTGCTGAAGAAAATCAACTTGGTCCTTAGTTCCTATTCTAGGAGACCTGTTTGGCACGTAGAAAGGAAGTATTTTTTTTAAATGACATAAATTATTGTTATGTGCCCCTGACTTGATTCTGGCTCATAGGAACTCTATGGGACAGAGTAGAACTGCCCCCATTGAGTTTCCTGGTTGTAAGACCCCCAGCGAGATGGATTGGCAAAGTGGCAGCATCACTAGGCTCAAGTGTGGCAACAATTGTGAGGTTGGCCCAGGATCAGGCAGTGTTTCGTTCTGTTGTGCTCAGGGTCACTATGAGTCAGAACTGACTCGATGGCACCTAATAACAACAACAATCTTACTGGGAGCAGGTTGCGAAGTCTTTTCTCCTTCACAGTGGCTGGTGAGTTCGAACCACCCACCTTTAGGTTGACTGCTAGGCACTAAACTATTCTGCTACCAAGTTTCCTGACCATGGAAAAGTAGGATGGTAAAAGTTAATTCAGCATGTATTTAGCAATTCATTTTTAAGTTCCTAATATGTCCTGGTGTGGCACTGTGGGTTAATGCGCTAGACTGCAAAGCTGTTTGAACTGCAAGGTCTATGGTTCAAGCTTACTAGCCATTCCTCAGAAACCCTATACAGGGCCGCTATGGGTCGGAACTGACTCAATAGCACTTAACAACAAACAAAATATGTCCTGGGGTGGGGCTATAGGATAAGCACTAAACTGCTAGCTGCAAGGTCAGCAGTTCAGCTCCACCAGAGTCTCTTCGGAAACCCTGTAGAGAGTTGCTGCGAGTTGGATACTTAACAATAATACATACCAGATAATGGGCTAACACAAGGTCTTGAAAATTCTCTCTTATGTTTTCTAGTCTTGTATTTAGGTTTATCATATATTTTGAGTTAATTTTTGTACACAGTGTGAGGTTTAGCTCACGGTTTTGTGTGTATGTTTTTTTGTTTTGTTTGGGCATGTATGTGCCAGATGTTACAGCATCATTTTTTGTAAGATTAGGCTTTCTCCACGAGTGGTACCTTTGTTGAAAATCATTTGTCTTTGTATTAGTCCCCTTCTGGATGCTCTCTGTTCTGTTCCATTGGCCTTTGTTTTGTTTTCTCACCAGCACCACATTTTCTTGACTACTATACCTTTGTAGGAGTCCTGGTGTGGTGCTGTGGATCAATGCGCTGGACTGCAAAGTCAGTGGTTCAAGCTCACTAGCCGCTCCTCGGAAACTCTATATAGGGTCGCTATGAGTCAGAACTGGCTCGATGGCACTTAACAATAAAACCCATTCCCATCAAGCCAATTCCAATTCATAGTGAACCTACATGGGGTTCTCGAGGTGCTAAATCTGTAGGAGAGCCGACAGTCTCATCCTTCTCCTGCAGAGCTACTGGTGGATGAGAACTACTGACCTTTTGGTGCGTGGTCCAGTGCTTATCCTAGCCCACCACCTTAAAATTGGGTAATTGGGTAATGTGACTTCTCCAACTTTTTTCTTCTTTTTCAAATAGTTTTGGATATTCTGGTTCCTTTACCTTTCAGTATAGAGTTTCAGAATCAGCTTGTCTGTATATGCAGAGAGTACTGCTGAGATTTTGATGGGAATGGAAGTAAGTCTGCACATCAGTTTGGGGAGAATGGACTCTAACGCTAGTGAGTCTTCACACTTAACCACAGGCTGCTGCTCCACTTACTTATATCCTTTTTGATACCTTTCATCAGAATTTTGTAGTTTTCAGCTTCCATATTAATCCTTTACTTTTAAATCTTTTGCAGACTAGATTATGGAAATGGGAAGTGAAGAAGAAAAATGGGAGAAGCTGGATGCAGAGTTTGATCACTTTGTGGTAGATATGAAGCCCTTTGTTCTAAAATTATCCCATAGATCAGGTAAGATGATGTTTGAAAATGACACTCTTAAGGTTAATTTTTCTCTTTCTATAATTTTGTCAAATCATTGAGCCATCAAAATGGAACAAACAAATAAACAACCCCCCCCCTCCCCCGCCCAACTGGTTTCCTTTAGTTTTCCTCTTGAATGATGTAGGACAATTGACTTTGAACCATCCAGGGGTAAAGAGCAGTTCAGTGGCTGTGTCCTAGTGATACCACCTCCCTAAAAGCTCCAGTAGTTTCTCCGCATCTATTCCCTCCCCAGGCGGAAAAACGTGTTCTTTCAGGAGCTTACTATCTACTGCCTTTCTAACTCTTCTGTTCATGAAATCAGAAAATAACCTATTGGTCTTTTATGCTTGTGTGTTGCTGAAGAAAATCAACTGTGAATGAGTTTTTTGTTGCTATCTTATCTCCTTTTATCTCTAATTATAAAATGAGAGTGTTTGTCCCCAGTTAAAGAATTTTCAGATAACTTAACAGCATCAGGGATCAATTGAACAGAATTTGAGAGGCCAGAAAAATTCTCCAGGTTGTACTAGGCATAAGACTGACAGCAAACATTTATCTGATTTGGTAGCTTTTGATTTGAGCTATTTGGGGCTAAGAAACTATGGCTTATACTTTTTCTGAAATCTCAATTTCCCTGAGTAATTTGAGCAGATCTGTGTTGAAAGTGAGGCACCAACTCAGTGTTAGATTTCCTTGTCCACGGCCACCTAGCGTGAGCTTCCTGTTCTCCTCTTCCTCTCTCCTCTTCTGTTGACTCACTTGACCGTAGCCTCTTCTAGTTCACAATGAGTGTTACATGGCCACTGTGCATTCAAGATGATTTGAGTTAATATTTGTATATTGTGTCCTCTTCTACAACTGATCTCTCAGTTTTATTTTTGTCTTAACATCTGCTGATTGGTAACATTTGTATTAAAATCTCTCATTACAAATATATTTTAAATAAAACTATCCTCAAAGTGCATTTTTTTCTTTTTTATGATTTTTAAAAACAAGATTATTGAGTTACACCTCACATACTACATAATTGACACATTTAAAGTATAATAAATTAATTAAAAAAAAAGTTTTTATTGTGAATTATGTGATAATTTACCTGGAAGAATGTTAGTTTTATATTCATCTTATCGTGTATCATTTCATTACCATGATTACAATCCACTCCATGCATCATCAACCAAACAAAGGGTACACCGCACAAGCCTGCCCCTGGGTCGTTAGCACACAGCCCCTCTCCTTCTCTGAGTCTAGAGTCCCCAGCCACTCCATCTCTGGTGTCAACTGTTTCTCTGGGTAGGGTCCCACACTCTGCTTTTCTCCTTTGATGGTCCCAGGGATCTCCGCTCCTGGACTGCAAAGTCAACCACTCCCCTCCTTTAGCTGCAAATCATCTGCCTTACGTTTCCAGCCCTCACAGTCAGTTCTGATAGCAATTATTCACTATTGTACCACAAGAATCCTATCCCCATCTCCTTTTATCAGCCCCGCCCAGACAGATTGGATACTACTCAGTGGAGATTCTACGTTCCTCCGTGCCCTCTGGATCTAGGTTCCCTCTTGAAAACTTGTAAGACTGTCACTTCTTGC